TTTTTGGTTTAAAAACATTTTTTTTTTTAAAAAAAAAGATGACCGGTAAGGGGATCCTAACCCTTGGTGTTGCTCCCGCACCTCGCTCAGCCAGTGAGCGGGAACCGGTCTGTATGTGGGATCCGAACCCTCAGGCAGTGGGATCTGAACCCACTATCCAGTGCGCCACCGGGCCGGCCCCATACTTTTGAACGTAGTTACAAATATATTATTACATCTGGGTCCGGGATCTGAACCCACTATCCAGTCCGCCACCGGGCCGGCCCCATACTTTTGAACGTAGTTACAAATATATTATTACATCTGGGTCCCTATATACATATATACTTACATGAAACAGATTCATTGCAGTTACAGATATTTACTCTTATTGTTCTTATACACTCTGATTTTGTGACCCTTGAAGTTGATTTTACAGCCAGTGTCTTCAACCTGTTTGATAACACTGCCCTAGGTATTTACTGTTGTCCATGTAAGGGGTGATAGCATGATTACTTAGATGAACTGAGGAATATGACCTCACTTTTTCTCTTAAAGTGATTTATCTTTCTGGTCCTTCAAGAACATTTTATTATCATTTAAAAATATTTTTCTGCTTTGCCAGTCATTAATCACCCACAGTTAACAGTTTTGTTTTGGGTTTTTTTTTTTTTTTTGGTAGTCTACAATTTTCATTCATCATTACATAATTGAGTGCTTCCCTACGTTACTGAAAAACATTTAATGCTTGTTATTTTATATGCTTTTGAAGGAAAGGCGAAGAAAAAAAATCCAGATGTGAAATGTTAATGTACTTATTGAACTCCATGAAAGTAAACATATCAGATTCCACAACTTACTTGATATAAATAGCTTTAAAATAATCGGCTGGAGGGCCAGTCCGTGGCTCACTCGGGAGAGTGTGGTGCTGATAACACCAAGGCCATGGGTTCTGATCCTATATAGGGATGGCTGGTTAGCTCACTGGCTGAGCGTGGTGCTGACAACACCAAGTCAAGGGTTAAGATCCCCTTACCG